TATGCCTCAGTTATCTGTATCTAAAGTTCTTTTCCCCTGCTTGGGAAATTTTCTGCCATCACTTCTGTGAACAGTTTGTTTTATGTCATCTGGACTCTCTCTTGTTTCTTCATTGACTCTGATCGGTCTTATGTTATTTTTCTTTGCATCATCTAGCAGCTGCTGGATTGATTTCTCATGGTTCCTTACAATTTTGAAGCAATTTTTCTTTCCCTGTTCACTAATTGCAATCTTTTCTTCTATATATGAGATTCTGTCCTCACATTGGCTCATTCTACTGCATAAGCTTTCAATAGAGTTTTTAATCTCCTGGAAATCTGTTTGTATCTGTTTTGTGGATTCCTTTTGTTTCCTATGTTGGGATTCCATCATGTTCCTCTGCTCCTCTATTTTTTAAATCTGTTTCCTCTCTAGATTTACTAATCATGTCTTGCACTATGGGAACAATCTCTGCTGTTATCTGAGAAATTATTTCTGATTTCATTTTTTTCAGATCCTCTTTTGTTGCCAGTTCAGGGAGGCCAGGTGGTTGAGTATCAGATTGTTCCATCTCGTTTCCCTTTGGGGTTGCCTTAGGTGATTTGAAAGTCTGGTTTTGAGACTTGTTTATGTGTGTTCTCATTTCAACAGTTGCAGCCTGCTGTGCCTTTGCTGAGGCAACTTTTTGCTCACCCAGTGGTTTTCAAGTCTCAGCAAGCCACAGAGCTGCCTTTAATCTGCTGCTCACCAGTATACTAATTCCTGGGTTCAGAAAGGTGGTCTTCTGGATCCCTAAACTGACCTGTTGTCTGGGTGGGCTTTTGGCTGGGGCCTGTGCACACTTGAGATGGTATCTAAGTGTGTCACTGGCTAGGTCCCTAATTAGCTGTTGTCTGGGAGGGCCTTTGGCTGGGGGCTGTACACCCTAGTTCCTGTTGTGTGAGGAAGCTTTTAGCTAGGGTCTGGCGCACTTACTGATCGTATTGGGGCAAGCCTCTGGCTGTTGCTTGTGTGCCTGTGAAGCTCTTTTCCAGACAGGCCCTTGGCTTGGGCTGGTGTCCCCCAGCCTCTGGGGTTGGGGCAAAGCCCAGGCTGGGATCTGCTTGCAGCCCCACTGCTCTGGTCCACACTGCTGTTCTCCCAACTAAGGTGGTCTGGTGTGCTTTTTTTTTCTTTTCTTTTTTACCATCCACACTGGTGTTTCTTTGTCATAAGAACTATTCTTTAGTTAATATTTTGATGTTTCACAGTTCAGGAACACTGATCAGTGGCAAGTATCTATGGAACTCTATCCAAAAAAACCTTTTTATTCCTATATCACTTTGCACTCTGAAAGATACCAGCCTTCCTCATTTCTTCAAAATCTTTCATGGAATCATAATTTCTGTAGAAATCTGTATATGCATTCTTTCTTGGTTCAGCCACACCAAAGTTATAGAGAGCTGCAACTCCCAGGGAGACAATGAATGCTCCAACAATATGGATGCACAGATGCCTGGCCAGAAGACCTTGCATCTGCAGTTTTGTCAAAGGACTGGAACTCATGGTAGTTACTGTCCTCAACACCAGTGTCCTTCCCTGCTGAAGGAGAAAAGAGCTGTTGGTGTGCTTTTATTGCAGAAATTTTCTTCACTTTTCCAGTGGGCTTTAATTTTCATCAACAGAGAGGCCCACTTTCTGTTGTTCACTTCGACTTTATCTTCTAAAGCTCGGAACAATGTCCTTTATGACCGTGTAATTCTGTGGTGTGGCTCCAGTAATGGCTTGGCACAGCCTGGGGGGGGCAGTGGTGTGCTGGTGCCCTCGAGGCTCACCTCCTTGGCACTCTGGGGTAGTGGTGTGGCGGCCCAAAAGGTTCACCTCCTCAGTGCTCTGGGGTGGTGGTATGGCTGTCTCTCACATTTTTAATTCATCTCTCTATCCCAAACCCAGTAGCTGGGTAAGTATGTTTGGAGCAATTTGACTCACATTCTAAAGATAATTCCTGAGGGATGCAGAAACTCAAGGATATGCCCTCTAGGATGTAACCATGAGACCCCAGGCCCAGCCCATTCTCACTTCACCCAGCTTCCGTGGCTTGGTTGACAAATGTGAACCGACCTCAAGAATGTTGTTCATAACCCAATTTCATCTAATAAAGTGATATAAAGTCTACTTTCTCAAGTATACTTTTAGGCAATACATACTGGTTTTTTTAATCACTGAAAACAGCAATAAATTTTTACAAAGATTATTTTTAAATGTTGCTTTCACAAGGCCACTTCCATCTATCAGGAATCTGAATAACTGCTGTGGTGAAATGAAAAGTCTTCCTCTGCAGCCTATTGATGTGTGTAAGAGAAGAGTATAGATGCAGAAGGGGGACAGAGCAAGAATAAGAGCTGACAATAGAAGAGATGAGAATATATCAGGAAGGGAAAAGAGAAACAGTGAGTAGAAACATCTACATGGGCTAATTGGGAAGAGCAACTTCCATAACATGCATGGAAATGGGAATTTGATTTTAGTCACCTCTCTTATTCTAATAGTCAATGTCTTCTGGACTTAAGGATATTCAGTTAGAAGGAATTATGGTGCATGAGATTTAAAACAAGAAGACCTGGATTTGAATCCCAATACTGCTTTTTTCTAAGCTACTTGAGTTCAAGTAACTTCAGCTCTTGAGCCTGGGTAGTCCTGTGTGTGAAATGCAGACAATGTCTTCCCTTCTTACTTAGCTCAAAGAAGCAACTTGATGGGACACCTTGAAACCACTGCAGAATGCTGTTTATTATCACACCTAGCTAGAGAGCTCTTATGAGAGTCTTGTTGGTTTGTAAGAACTTACCAGCATTTAACACAAATAACTGACACAAAGTAGGTACTTTTCAATGTGGGAAGCAGAGAAACCTCAATATCTTAAATAACATGCATGAGGCAAATGAAGATAAAGTAATAGTTTGAATAATGTTAACATGGTTGACATTTCTATACATTTTTATAGATAATTGATTTATTCATTTAATGCACATTTTAAAATGTTTCTTAATCAGACCCAGAATAGCAAAAGAAATTCTAGGTAACAGAGACATGGCAGGGGGTATCACAATCCCCAACCTGCAACTATACTACAAAGCTACTGTGATAAAAACAGCAT